CCCTTCAGAAACACAGCTGAGACTTGCTCTTATACTTTGTCAATATTGGATTAGCTTTGCATTGACCGGGCCTCTTGAAAAGACCCGAAAAATCCACACCAGGTCTACCACTAAGCCCAACAGTCAATAGGTAATGAAAGTAAGTTATTTCCCTGGCTTAAGGGGGTTTCCAGCTCATTATCAGGTTATCTGATTCCCTTCAATAGTTGCACGCTAGACGTGGGGAATTGCAAGCGAAGCGGGGGGAGGTGGGGACCAGAGCAGGGGGAAGGGAAGAAACCCAGTCCCGGCCCTTGATTGCGGGGTGCTGGACCCCGCATCCAGGCGGCTCTGCTGCGACGGGCCCGAGTGGTGTAAAGCGGAGGAAGCCGGGATCCCCGCCACAATCCGTTCTGCCACAGACCACTTTTAAAGAGGACAATTAACATCTCTTCGCGTTGACTTCCTGCCTTTATCCCGCCCTTAATTTTTTGTGGAAAGCCCTCCAAACAAACGCCTTCTTGTCTACGAAAATCCGTTCATTTCCTCGCTTGGAGGTGTCCCGCAAGACAAATCGGGCGGCTTAGACCCGTGTGTGTTCGCGCTGCAAACTCGAAATAGGCAGGGAAGGGAGGGGCATGGGCTCGTCTATTTCGAGCAAAAAGCAGGAAACAGTTTTATTGGGGGGAGGGGGGCTTTTTTGGATGCAAAGGGAATGGGGGAAAATGTTCTCTCCTGTCCTTACTATTCTGGTTTTCATGTGGCTCTTGCGGTGTCGGATTGTGTTTTTTTTGTTTTGTTGCAACAGGGCCAGTGGATGGAAAGGAAACGGGGAGTGAAAAAAGTAGCAAAATACCAAAGACATTCAGGTAAGAGAAGTAGCTCCCTCCTGGAGCGGGTGAGCAATCTCTCTCCGCAGAGCAAGCTTTAATGGGATGCTTTTTATTTCTTTTCTTTTCTCCTTTTTAACAGAAAATAGTGTCAGGGAGGGTGATTTTTTTTTAAATCGCCTGCCTTGCACAGGGAGGAACTAGTACATGAAAGGGCCAGTTCTCTGGAAGAGAACAGCGCTGGATCAGCCTCCAGCGCGCTACAGTTGTGTACTGAGCAAGCCTGCATAACATTACATCGCTTAGTGAATGCATCCTTGTTCTGGCTGGCCAGAGAGCAGAGAAACAGCTAAGAAAACCCAAGGCAGAGGAACTACAATTATGATGGGGGTGGGGGTGGAGGGGGTGCATAAACTGACATTGCTTTTTTTTTTTTTTTACTTTAGGGCCGAGGTTTGTTCAGGCGCTTTCCAGATGCAAGAATCTAATTTCCTGTGAAACGAGAAGCAAAGTTGTCAGAGGGGCTGAGAACAGGAGGCCCTGTATGCCTCCAAAGGAGAGGGGGGCTTTTTTTTTATTTGCCCCTCCCTTCCCCCCCCCCCAGAATAGATATAGCACGAATTTTTAATTCGTCTTCCTTTCACAGACAACAATACCGGGTTTGAAAGCCGGACACAATTTGGGTTTTGTGCGGGGGGCTCGGCAGCTCTCTCAGCCCAGCTGGCCATATGGGATACAGCGTGTAGGACCAGGGCTGACAATGGCGGCAAGTGACAGCCAGAACAAAACGCGACGATACTTCTCCCGGACTCCGAGATGCACTGCTCCTGATAAACGCCTTGAATAGCGCGGGGAAAAGGGGAGAAAAGGGGGAAAGAGAGAGAGAGAGAGAGAGAGAGAAAAGCACTGTCTCCCTCTCTGCCCCCCCCCGCCTGTGTTGTCTCTCCAGCCTCCTTTATATGCACGCCTCTAACATCCTCTACTCCCAGCCTCCTCCATTGTGCGGGTGTGTGATGGCTACTGTATATTGTGCAAAGATAGACTGCACAGAAAACTGCCCCATCAGCGTGTGAAATATAAGGGCCACGGGGGTTAGGGCCACACAACTGGTTTTATAGACTTCATAGGGACCGCGGAGAAAAGTGTCTATTCTCTCCACTTCCCCCCGCAC